TTATCCCATATCATGCTAATAAATGATTTGATTGATTGATAATGATACCGTGAATGATACCGGTATTGAGTGCGCGTGTGTGCATAGTAGGCCGTAATGGGGGCTACAAGGTAGGCGACACGTTTAAGGTATTAGATGATGAAGCGCATAAATTAAATAGGACATTTTGTTTCGGATTTTTGTAGATTTACTTTCCAATTCATGTGTATCTAGTTCTATTCCTAACAAAGTATCAGAACTAACAGCTGTTTATAATTTAGTGTAATTGTAGCTAGGGGAGAGAGAGGCACATTCTTCGTGTTTGGACTCATAAAAAATCAACTGTAAAGAGAAATTGAAAAAACGTAATTTTCTTAGCTTACTTACTCCTTTGTTAATATAAATATGATGAAATGTTTGAATTTGCTGAAAACGTCAAAGAGAAATAATGTGTTTTTTTTAAACACAAATTTGTATAAATCTGCTTCCCTAGGGGGCACATTTGAATCGACATGGGGCAGTTTTGAACAATGAGCTAAAAACCAGAAAAAAGAGAGGATAGAGTAATAATTTGTCTTTATTATAATGATATTTATTTTAATAAAATATAAAATAAACTTATACGAAACTTCTAAAGTTACATATTGCATTACAGTAACAAAAATAAAAATAGTATTTTCATTGTGTTGGACTTCCTCCTTGGTAACAAAAGTAATCATATTGCATAAGAGTTTTAGTTTATTGTTATTATTATTATATAATACTGCCTCAGACGCAAAATTAAACATAAAATAAACTTAATATCAAACTTGTAAGAAAACATATGAAGTTTGTATTTGAACGTCCCGTTCAAATCTGCCCCACGGTCACTTGGAAAATCAAATATTACAAAAAAAAAATGTCAAATAACTGGCAAGCAAAAACAACAAGGTGGGTTGAAAACTAATAATTACTGCACAATTTTGTGAAAGAATTAGTTGGAAACCTTTACTCACGTGATAGTAAATCCCTTACAACATTTATTTTTATTTTTTACTTCATCGGTACAAATACGACGACAGCTTATAAATCTTTTTCAAAACGATACGCGCGCGCTTTGTTATTTGACGTTTGTCACAGCCAGTGCTGCCAATATTAAAATGTAGTTACGGCATAAATTAACATAAAGTTACGTTCAGAAATCAACATGTTCTAATCTGCCCCTGTGCTAAGGTGCCTCCTTCTCCCCTATATGATATTTGCAATTCATTTTTTTTTTTGTTGGGGTATTTAACAAAATAAAATGATGATAAACATCTAATGATGTTAGATGTAAAGTCAGATTATGAGATAGATATAAATGATATCGTAAAATAAAATTTAAGACAATAAATTCCAATTTATGTACAAATATATATGATAAGAAAATACATTTATTCATTTATAAATAAGGCAATATTTTGATATATAATCAAATATGTTAAATTGACCTTGAGTAATACTGCATTGATTTGTCAATTTAATAGGAAATAGTATGTCAATCATATATGAATGATTGGTCTCGCTTCAGTCGAGGGAAGCGAGACTAATCATTCATCTATGATGTATTGACATACCATATTGATGTGTTTCACGTTTTCTTGGTATTCCTGTAAAAAAAATGTTTATGTTTAATATGTACATACATATGTAATTCAATAATATTAAGTCAAATTATTTACTATTCTTATGTCTGGTTTGCTAGATCATAAATAATGTAAAATACACATGGTCTATGTGAATAGGCACTGTAATCGCTATTGACTTATTAAATGAACAAGGCAGAGAAGTTGTTGTATACCCGGAGAACCGGCCGTACAGAAATTTATGTTGAATTATCAGAAACCGATGGTTTACAGCAAGATAGGTGCTATTTTGTTAAATGTGAAAAATTATGTTTTCGCTTTGACAAAATGGCAAAGTTTTTGATTACAAAATACTATTAATTAATTATGCTTGATTTATTAATAAATGCAATAAGTAATTAATTAACACAAAGAGAAAATGACTTGTAGTAAAAGAAAAACTATGTATTTAATAATGTAGTTTTGAACATAAAGCAATATATAATTATGTTATAGTCACATGTTACATATATGAATCACATAGGTAGGTATTATTATAAAATAAGAGTTAAGTAAGTAGGTTGGGTATGGCTAAGGTCAATCTAATATATATAAAATTGTTAAACAAAATATATAACCGAATTCAAAATCGAAAATGGAACTAAAAAGTAAAAAATAATATCTGGTTCATGATTTGGAAGTCGGGCGGACAAGATTGAAAGACGTATTTTTACCGATCAGAAACGAAAATCTATTAAATGTTTCAATCTTGACCCGCCCGACTTCCAAATCATGAACCAGTACCCTGAGTACGAGTTCTAGCTTACGAAAACTGTCATAGTTTTCGTAATTGTAAATTATGTTTCTATGTCCATTTTGGTTAAAAGTAAACAAATATACTTAAAATTTAAGAAGACGCAAATAATTTAATGATAGAATTTAAACACTGTTTATTTGTATTGAAACGAAAACAATATAATCAGTACCCTTTGTACGAGTGCGAGCTCACGAAAGCTATCATAGTTTTCGTAATTGTAAACTCGTACTAAGGGTACAGATATTATTTTTTACTTTGTAATTCCATTTTCGATTTTGAATTCGGTTATATTATTTGTTTATTTATTTTTTATTTCATCCACTTTAGTGAAAATTACATCGTCCAAGTAAACAATAACACAAGTGGTGGAAAAATAGGTGAACATGCATAAAAAATATCGTGCGTGCCTTTGAAATTTGAAGGTTTCCCTCGATTTCCTCGGATTCCACCATCAGATCCTGACTTGGTTCCAATGGGACCACCTCGGAAGTGCACTCTTTCGAAAGAAAAAATAATTTTGGAAATCGGTCCACAATTGACGGAGAAATCGGTGAACATACATAAAAAAACGAGCGAGCCTTACAGTAGTCGCGTATGATGTGTAACATTTGAAACCTCACCTTATATTAGTAAAAAAAGAAATAAAACCTACTATGTACAAAAGGTATAAGCCATTTGAACATTAAGTTTTAAAATCAAATCATAAAGCGCTCGCTTTCGCAACTTCCTGTTACACACTTCCGTCCCATTTCACGAAATCACTCCCACAAATTGCAAGAAAGCGAGAGGAAAGATGATACACATAAAAAAAAACAAATATACAGTCGAACATAGAACCTGGACTTTTTGGCGGGATCAGGAAGCGTCACTTTAGCAGTTTTGTTTTTTGGTAAAAATTGTGTTGTGGCGGATGTTAGTGTCTATGATTTAATAATGGTGGATTATTAACCACTAAGTGTTCGGGAACATGCACAAGTGTTGGCAAGTGAAACAAAATAGCGGAAAGTCTCTTTCGACGTTCCCTCAAGAAGTCCACGGGTAGGTTCCAATAAATCCCCACACTTTTACTGAAACATAAGGAAAGGGGGATTGATTTGACTGCCACTTACTTTGACTTGAATTATTATTTGATCACGAGTGCTATAGTATTTGTAAACATTTTAACACTTGACATTGGATAAATCCACAAGCTGTGCGAAGTTCTTTAGAAAAAAAAACTTAGTACCACCTCCTTTTTTGAAGTCGGTTAAAAATTCTCGTGTCACGGTGTGCGTAATTGAACTACTCCGAAACGGCTCGACCGATTTTCGTGAAATTTTATATGCATTTTCAGTAGGTCTGAGAATCGGACTACATCTATTTTTCATCCCCCTAAATGTTAAGGGTGATCCACCCTTAATTTTTTTCATGACCAAAATTTTTTGTTTTGTATTTTTTTATGATACATCATACAAAAATACATACAACCCTAAATTTTCATCCTTCTACCACCAACCACTATTTTTTACGGGGTACGAAGTTCGCTGGGACAGCAAGTACCTATTTCTATAGAATCATTTAGGTATATCACCTTATTCTTTCTCTAAGCCTGTATTAAGTGATTGCACAGATTTTCTAATATCCAAATATTCCGATCGAATACTCTGCGTTTCAGTCTTCAGTTCATGTGAGGTTTGAGTTAAGCTGCCATCATTCTATCGAAGAATTTATTGAAAGCTTCGGTGTAATCTTCGCTGTGCTTTCGCTTTTTCATAGTATAGGTTCTACTTCCATTTTCTTTAATTGAGATAGATTCGGTATTGAACTCGATGTCTGCTTCGGTGATCGTATTCGTAGACATATATGTATTCGAACAGCGATGACAAAAAGGTATTACACAATTTATAAAGCTGGTGTTGAACTCATATGCGCTCTAAATTCTCAAATATTCTTTTCTCATTAAAATTATCTTTCACAATACAATATCAAATAATCTCGATTTGTAACACTTAAAGAATGTAATTATAATGATGTATTGGTAACGACATATTTGTACATTATGTAAATGGCGCTTCTTCATAAAAACTAAGAAGTTTCTTTTGCCTGTTCTTCTTGCTAAAGGATGTCCTGAACTGGTGATAGGACAAAAAAAATATAAGGATGATTAAAAAAAGTTTTTTATAAGTCAACTTGAATAAAGTTTATTTTTATTTTATTTCATTTCGCGGACAAAAGTTAGTTGTCAGGCCATTACTGTAGAATTTTTTCTCAGAAAATGCAAAAAAAACGTCACGCCGCTGTCGTCGAAGAAATTTTAAGAATGCTCTAAGGCTTTAACCAAAGCTTTAGTAGATAATAGTACAAACATCTCATAATCTAACTGTGGTTCAGTGCGAACGAAGACAAAATAACTGGTAGGTAGTTATAGCAGCAACTACTTGTTGCTGCTGTGTGTCAAGATTTTTAAAAATATTATTGATATTTAAGATAAATCTCTTTAATGTTTCAGTTAAGTCACGCAATGTGCGCGTGCCTGTATCATTTTTTCTCCAGTGTTTCATCATTGTTTGGTCTGTCTCGCGGGTCAGCTGGACGTTTCTTGACATGGCAGCTACTCAGCCACCGACTACTCTAGGTTGGGCTGGTCAATGAATGCGTGTGACGTCAGATCAACGCGGCCATACGAACATCGCTGTTTGATGTGTAGGTAGAGCGCGAGTACGACCGACAACCGTGGCTAGGCAGCTGGCAGTTGCGGCCGCGTTTCGACCGCGCTCGGTCTTTATCAAACCTCGCAAATCTATCGATCCGTATTAATCATAATGTTTTAACAAAACACAGTGTAAACGTTAACCGGCGTGCGTTCTCAAAAGTATCGCCGACTCACAAGTTATCCATGCTCAGTATTGTAATAAGCTTAAAGTTTTCATTGACAACATAAGCTTCTAAATTTCGCAAGACAGGAACACACTGTGAAAGTTTTTAGGTTTGAAGTTAGTTACTTTTTGATACTTTTGCGAACAAAATTATTTCAGCCTACAAATCATCATGAAAGATAAAAAAATAAGGTAAGTTTAGTCTTTTACATTGAAAATGTTATCAACAGCATGGCATAGAATCAATTTCACGCGTTATGTTAGCTTCAATAATACAAAGACGATAAGGATAACCTCAAATTATTGTATCTATCCAACAGTAGAAACACAAAAATGTTTGCAGAGAATAGTAATATATATAATAAAGAGAAAATGTATATATTTATATATATATTAAAAATGAGGACGTAGGTAACTAATCTTCTTTCATCATTTGCATTCTTTCAGTTAAAAAAGGCACATAAGTATTATTAATTTCTTTGATGTTTGTGTAAAAATTATCTATCTAAACAGTTTTATTTTCGATAATTTTCCTACCTATATTGAAATAAGTAACGCAGTTATTAAATGGACTCATCAACCACTATTGTAATTGGCAAAACGATTTTTAAATCACAACAATTACAACCTCGTTATATTTTTGAGACTTATTTTTCTGACCTTTCGTATATCTTTTACTATTCTGGCGCCTCTTTATTCTCCTATACTCTTTAGAACTTTTTCGGTATTACCACAAAAAAATATTCATACATTCAACAAAATATACCTTGTTATATTTAATTTAAGTTATTGGTTCAACACGACATTAAGATTAAAAGAGGTCATACAAAATTTGCCTAATCACCGTTTAAAACAATGTCTTTTTTGTGGTCAACTTTTTTGTGGTACAACTAGTTAGTTGTGTTTAAAAATATGCAATGAATAAAATTATTAAAATTGTAGCTATCAAATATTTGATTAATTGAATGGAATGTACAAAGTAGTTTATCAGTTTATTGCTTACGCTTAAACTTGAAATGTTGGCGTTTGATTAAACAGACAATTGCCCGACCCAGAAAAATACCAAAGTTTCTAATATTTTCAGTAATATTTCCAATATGCATTATGCACGTAAAATTAGGCATGACAATTAATGAACCGATGACGGCGTTTTTCACGATTTTTTCGCATTTAAACCTAAAATTCACATGTTTTTACTTGACCAAAAAATCTGAAAAATTCAGGGGACTTCCACACATCAAACCCAAATTTTTAATTGCATTTAAACCATTTAAAAATAAATTAAACTGGTTGAAAAAATAAAAATCACAAAAAAACATATTTTTCGCCATTACTGTGTTTTCGTTTGGGGTTGTAATGCCGGTAAAAAACTTATACTGCTTGTTTTTTGACCCTCTTCAAGATTTTTGGAACGATTTTACCAGATTCGGTGGGGGCCGCCAGACCCCCCTTAACCCGCTACCCCCTTTTATTCAGGAAGATAAAACAATATTTCGTAAAATCTTTTTAATTTACCCAGTTAATATAACTAACGTATAACACCCGTGAAAGCAACTTTGTACAGCAGGGAGGTTTAAAAAGTTGCTATTTCACTCTTTGAGTGCCATATAACCAGTATTTGTACCTACGTATAAAGAAACTAGAAAAAACATAGATTGCATCAGAGCGTGAGGTCAAAGCGTGACTTCAGTTGTCTGAGTTTTTGTTGAGGTTTTCCTCACTCATCCTCACATTTACTTATTATATATTTAAGAAAGACCATGTGGCAACTTAACTAAAGGGAGCTATTTATAATTTTGTAGGCTGTGGTTTAGATACCCTAAAAAGAGTAAATCAGAGTGAAGTTATTATTTCATATGAAGCCTTTACAGTCACTTATTGATATTAACATCCTTAGATAAGTCTCCCTTCTGTCGACCCCAAATTTCGAACAAGCACTTTATTATGAATATTCATAACGTTCGTTACCTATGCTTTCATGTAATTTCATGCATAAACCGATGCCGGGACCGATTTTGATAAAATTGTTGATGATAAAACAGTACTTAGAGTAGGAAATAGGCTCTTTTGTATTGAAAAATACCTAATATATGAAGGGGATGACAGTTTAATATAAAAAATAACGCAGCAGAAGAGACGCTCTCTAGTGGTCTAGTGGAGAGGAGGGAAAACTTCGAGGAGAGATGCCATCCGCCTAGAATACCTCTAGAGCAGCTATACTCTAAGTGTGTTCCGCGGAACCCTAGGGTTCCGTGATACCTCTGTCGGGGTTCCGCAAGAATTTAGAAATAAAAAAATCAAAACACCTCTCTCTGGTCGCTCCGCGGCTGTGCGGACTCCGCGGCCGCGCGGAGACAAAACGCTATGAATGTTATTTATTTATTTATTTGTATTTGTATAAGCTTGTGTTACATTAGCTGGTACAATATCTCATAAGTTTGGTCTCAACAATTTTATACTTGTACAACGCGTTCGCTCTAAGTTTGCCGGTCTGTGGAATGCGCGTACCCTCCCCCACGTGACAACAAAACTTATAATGTGTCATAGTTTTACCCAAATATCTAACGTACACAATTTTTATTGTTACAATTAAATAAAAAATTTCGAACGTCATACACTCATACCTATCGCCAGCGGCAAACTTAAAACGAGCGGGTAGTATACTTGTAAGCGCTCAGTCTCTTTGATAAAAGCCGCCTCTGAATTAGACGCTATAGTTGTCAACTAGCGACTTTCGTCTCTAACTTCAAAGGATAAAGTCGATATTGTTTACAACGCTATTTTTAAATTTCTGTTTTTATTTTTGCTTTTTGTTTATCAAAGGTGCCGACTCGAGTATTTTCGAGAATATTTGAGATCGAGTCTAGGACTAAGTATAAAAGCGGCGATCGCGCGTTGGCGTCGTCAGTTGATGATTAGCGTTCGGAGCGATAAGTTACTACCTACTTACAAGCTCGCTAGCGAGAAACTGGTGTTCATTGTTTTACTGCCTGCTGTATTCTGTTGTCTCAGTTTTATACATTTCTTCCCTGTAGGTTCTAAATTTAGTCTCTTATACGCAGTAACGATTGTGCATTATTTAAACCCCACTATCCTGACTTGTAACATTATAAATAAAGAAGAATGGAACGTTGGCTTAAAGGTGTTAAACGTGTTCCAACAACATCTTCTAATGACGCTGAATGTTCAAAAGCAATGCGCGCGGAGAATTTAGCAATCACCGATCCAGAAGATGATGCCACGAGTGCCACGACGTCAAGCTCGACGGTTTCAAAGACGAAAAAAAGGAAGTATGATGAATCTTATATCAGTTTCGGATTTGTTGATTCCAACGGCTCACCTCTCTGCATGCTCTGTAGTAAACTGCTTCCTAATAGTTCCATGGCACCTGCCAAATTGCGTCGACATTTAGAAACCGTACACCCCGAGACTAAAGACAAGAATAAAGAATTTTTTGTTCGCAAAAAAGATCAGTTATTAGAAAGTCAAAAAAATATGATGCATGTAACACAAACTACCAACGAAAAGGCCACGGAGGCATCATACTTAGTTAGCTATCGCATTGCACAAGCAGGTGAAGCGCACACTATCGCTGAGAAATTAATAAAACCATGTGTATTAGACATAACAAAATGTATGCTTGATGAAAAATCTGCAAAGCATCTTTCTACTGTTCCGCTATCAAACGATACTGTTTCACGACGAATCCATGATCTGGCAAGCTACGTCAAACAAGAACTAGTTACACGTCTACAAAATACACGATTCGCTTTGCAAATGGACGAGTCGACTGATGTCGCTGGTTTGGCTATCCTGCTGGTTATTGTGAGATATCCATATAAAAGTTCTTTTGAAGAAGACATGCTTATGTGTTCATCGCTGCTTACAAACACTACCGGGGAAGAAATTTTTAATAAAATAAATATATTTTTTGAAGAACATAATCTCAGTTGGAACAATTGCATTGACATTTGTACAGATGGGGCCAAGGCGATGACAGGTAAAACAGCAGGAGCAGTGTCACGAATGAAAAATAAAGCGCCTAATTGTAGTTCCAGTCATTGTATTCTGCATAGACAAGCACTTGCGATGAAGCAAATGCCGTCTAATCTAAAATTAGTTATGGATGAAGCGGTAAAAATAATTAATTTTATCAAATCACGACCACTACAATCCCGATTGTTCTCATTATTGTGTGAAGATTATGGCAGCAAACATAAAACACTGCTGCTCCATACAGAAGTGCGATGGCTGTCTCGGGGAAAAACTTTAACAAGGCTATTTGAACTTAGAGCCGAGTTACAAATGTTTCTTTCAGCAGATACTTCTTTTAATTTGAAGGACCGTTTGTATGATAAAACTTGGTTGTTCCGATTGTCTTTTATGGCGGATATCTTTCAAAAACTTAACGAATTAAATTTATCATTGCAAGGTAAACAGACAACAGTGTTTCAGGCCTATAATAAAATAACTACTTTTAAAAGAAAATTAGATTTTTGGATCATTTGCATTGGTAAGAAAGAAATAGAAAGTTTTACGTTACTCACTGAGTTTGTTAGCGAAAACGACTCAGAAATGTTTGAAGATAATGTGTTTGAAGAATTGGTCCAATATCTCAGTTCGATGCGCGCATCTTTTGAAAAGTATTTTCCCGAAGAACACAATACAAAAATTAAAGTGAACTCCTGGATTCATAATCCTTTTTTACCCAACTTGGAAAAGCCTGAAAACATGTCAAATGAGATATATGAATCTCTTTTAGAAATGTCATCAGACACAAGTATGGAGTCATTGTTCAAAACGACGCCTCTTAATGATTTTTGGTGCAGAATCCAAGATGAATATGCAATGCTTGGCCAAATGGCTCTGGATATTCTTCTCCCGTTCCCAACTACATATTTGTGCGAAACAGGATTCTCTACCTACGCAGCCACGAAAACAAAATATCGCAATAGACTGGACGCCGAAGCTGATATGAGACTCCAACTTTCTTCCATCAAACCTGATATCAAGCAATTGATGAAAAATAAAAAACAGTTTCATACCTCCCACTAGTTAGATTTTTTCTTTTTTAATGTTTTCTATTATTGTCCTTACCAAGTGGTGAAGTAAATAATAATTAGTAACGGATACATTGTACTTTTATTATGCTGATTAATATAGAATACACTTATAAAAATAATTGTTTTATT